AAAAAAAAAAAAAAAAAGAAAAAAAAAAAAACAAAAAAAAAAAAAAAAAAAAAGTTCAAAAACTCACCATCAGGGGAAAAAATGGCGCTGTATACGATATTGTTAAATGAAATAAGACACGAAAACATCTGTTTAAAATGTGTTTAATATTTTTCGAAACGTGTTACAAAGCATGTTCAATGTAGCGTCCAGCATTTTCCGAAAGCAAGTTAAATCATGTTACTGCATTCTCAACAGCAGCTCTTAGCATATCAGGTTTGGTTTTGGTTTGGTTTATTAGATTACGGCAAAACACTCGAGGGCTATCTGCCTTAAGGGAGGGATGCCTTCGTGGAGGACCTTTTAAGGGAAACTGGCTCGTATACACGTTACACATAGCATATCAGGAGGAATGTTACAGACATGTCGGTGTATCACATTTTTCATTTTCTGCCAAATTGTTTAGATTATCACCATAAACAGTGCTTTTGAGATAATCCTCATAGACTAAAAGTCACAGAGGTTGAGGTCTGGTGGGAAGAGAGGGGAAGTGTTGGCCTATAAGACGTTCATTCGTGAAATGTTGCCTAAGTAACTATGGCGACACATCTTGAGGTGGGGCCCAGCCCTGCATAAAAATCGTAGTATCTAAAATGCCACGTTACTGCAGTTCATGTATCACGAAACCATTTTAATATTGACTCTAAGTGAGCTGCAATCGCAGTGGTCCAGCTGTCGACTGCTCTTCAGAAAAAAATGGTTCAGTTATAAAACTAGCTGTCATTCAAGAGTAAACGGTGTGAAATGACTGTTATGCAATCGAATGCAGTAGGAGAATGCAATGGAACTAGATAGATAAATGAGAGATTTCTTTGGCCCAAATCGATTTAAAAGCGTTTTGAATCAGTATCTTCATGTTTTAGTGCCGAATTCAGGCTTAAAAAATTACAAATTAGCGATCTGTAAGAAAACGATTTCCAGATTGTACGCATTTGTGAGAGTGATTTGCGATCTCACATTTTCTAATCGTTAATTCGTAGTTTTCACGGTCGAAATTCTCACTTACAGGGATGGCGCACTCGATATTTATCGAATTTAACGTCTTTAAATAATAATTTTCCTACTTCAAAGTTTCTTAAGGGTATACAACATATTAAACCCGTTTAACAAAAGGTTAAGTTAGATTCCGACCCATATTTCGTTTAACAATATTGCATACAGCGCCATTTCTCTCCCTGGTGGTGAGGTTTCGAACTTCCTTTTTTTCGCGGAAAATAAATTCCCATGACCTCCTTTACACGATTTCCAAGTTTGATAACATTTGATCCAGTAGTTTTCCTTTTATGACCGTTTCAATGTGGAACTTTAATTATAACCACTCTGTATATTATTAAATTTTAATTTGAAGCTATGCGTTATATGTATACCATGCGTAAAATTTTCGCTTTTATGAAAAAAATAAAAAATCGAAGCAAATATACTTAGTATAATGGACCAAAACTGAAAACATTTCCCCTCCCTCCGAAAATAAAATATTGAAATTTCGAACTTGAATTTACTGGGTTATCGAAATATTTAATTTGACTTATCTTCTAAGTCCTAGTTCCGACAACAATTCCGTCAAAAAAATTCCGAATTACTTAAGCTAAAGTTAAAGATTTAGTATATATTCACTGTATGTTAATAAAGTAATCAGAGTGTAATAAAATACTAGATTATAGAATTTACGCTGATGTAACTTTTTGTCTGACTGCACAACATGTAATGGAAGAGAAGGTTTTGTAAGATCTGTTTTTTCACATGCCTCTAAAAGTAGATGTCATATTAATTTTGTCTCTTCAATGTCAAAAAACTTTCCTTTGAGAGGCAACTTTAGTTTCTGAGAAAGAAAAAAATCACAAGAAGACAAATTTGAAGAACATGCAGGACGATTGAATATACATACTTATTTTCCGAACACAAGCGGTTCTCCGACTGGTTATTGAATAATGAAAAGATGCATTGTCATGCAATACAAAACATTTGGAATACGTTTTCTGGCTGAATAACGTAAGATTAAAAGTCATCTGTTTAATTCACATTCATTTACAAGTCAACTACTCCGGCAATTGCAGAATCGTTTTGATCCTGAGTTGTAAGACAAACCTAATATCACTGGATTTAAAACACTTCTTTAATCTTCCGAGAACGTTCCTTCTTTAGCTCATATTCCAAGAATATTAAGTGAATACAATTATTGCCAAAGAAATTGAATATTCATTTGCACTACGGCTTGGTAGTTTACTAACGAGTTAACAAAACTTAAAATCTGCTTTTTGTGTCAAAGAATACAACAATATTTTAAATATTTACAAATAAAATATTAAATTGGAGATTTAATTGGAGCCTCATCAGTTGCCTAGCATTTGAAAATTGTTAAATACTAATTGCTTGTTGCGAAGACTAACCCAGGCTGCATGGTTGGTTTACGTAGTTTTTTAGGTTCTCTTTACAAAGATTCTCTATGAAAGCATCTTAATCAAATAGCTCCCATGTTCTTTCTATGTTCAGATAACCAACTAACCTAGTTTAAGCGCGATTTCCAAGTGAAAGTTACTAGTAAAATCCGAATACTCATTAAAAATCCTGTAGCTAGCCAATCGGGAGTAACATGAAAGATACGGAACCAATAATTGAATGTTGTTACGGTACGCTGTTTCTTAACTTAGATGGTCATTCCTTAATTAAATAGCCACCAACAGCCGAGCGGTAAAGACGCTGAACACTGGTAGTTCGTTTCGAGTTTCGAATCCCGCGAACGGGCTGGCCGCATGGGCGGTTTCGTGGTTTTCCCCATGTATAACGTGTATACGAGCCAGTTTCCCTTAGAAAGTCCTCCACGAAGGCATCCCTTCCTTTAGGCAGATAGCCCTCGTGTGCTTTGCCATAATTAAATAATTCAATTCAATACTTAATTAAATATAATTGATTTGTAAATTCTACTACAACTGACGGTAAGAATTGAAGTGGAAATAAGTAATATGGTGTGCAATTTTGATTAATATAAAATTTAAAATATTTGCATAGAAAAATGTTTGCATTCAGACAGAAAGTTTTTTGAAATATTTGCAATTACTTTATAAGAAGGATTTATTAATAACAGCAATAATTACTTATTATATTACTGATGATTAGGATTCAGTTCTTGACAATTACATTCTAAATTAGAATTTTAAGGATATAATGAAAATACGCTACGCACAAAAATACATTTTAGGAAAAAAGTGAGAGTTGATTTTTTATGTTTTTAAAACTTCTTAATTCATTTAGTAAACATAGTATCCTCGTTGTTTATTGAATCCAGAATGTTGGTGTCGTTTATATAATTATTCTTACTTGTCCACAGAATCTGCTGACTTATCCAGCCATTAAATAGCTGCAGATCATTTCTACATAACCATTGAACTTCCATTAATTCAGTCTCTAGAGGGTTGTATGTTTATATCATAATTTGACTTTTATAAAAAATGATTATTCTAAATATTATGTTTCTATAAAAATATATTGTGCTTTAAAAATATGGATAATAGTATCAGCCGCTCTTTCACCCACTTCAAAAGCAACAGTTTGTTTAGAAATAAATTATGCAGTTAATGTCATAAAATTCAAATAAATATCAAACGAAAATTCTCAGTTTTAGACAATTCGATTTAAACGAAGTAAAGTAGCAGACGATGAAAAACGCCGAAGGTAAAAATTTACTCTTACAAAAATTACTCTTAAAAAAAAAAGAAAAGATACGAGAGAAATTAAAAAAAAATAGTTAAAATTTGAATAAATCATCTATAATTTAAAAAAATAGCCTTCATATAGTATTAATAAAATTTTACGCATCATTAGGGAAAAAAAAATGTAATAAATTCTCCGTAAATTTTACTTGAAGTTTAAGGTTAAAAATAAGATGTGGCAATTCAGTGTAAACAAAAATCCATAGACCACATTTGGCGTTATTATCGCTCAAAAAAAAGGTGCCAAATTTCAAAACGCGAAAATATGTAAATTCGTGTATATCTTAGAAAATTTTGAGTTAAAAAAGTCTAATTTTTTGCAGAGATATGCTTAAAAATACACCTACTTTAAGATGATGGTAAAAATTTTATAGGTTATAATTCAAAATTTTTTTCGAAAAATCTATAGAAAATTATTTAAAAATAAAAATTTAAAAAATAAAACGCAAAAAATGGGTAAATTTTATTTGGAATGAACCAAAATTTCGAAATGTGAGAGAAAAAATCAAAAAAAGTTTAATAAAAAAAGAGATATTAATAAATATTTGCCAAATTCAATTAACATTGAGGAGCTAAAATTTTGAGAGCTAATATTTTAAAAACTAATTGTACGATTTTTACAAAAAACTTGGTATTCTGGCATAATTTGAGTCGTAGTAGAATCGAAATATGTAAAAACATTGGTATGTTATTTCAGAAAAAGTCCGATTTTGTGTCAAAATACCTATGTTAGAATAGTACTATATATAAATCTAATATATATCCTAAGTCGCGCTTTCGAGACATGAAAAACGTAGTTTGAATTTTGTCAATCGCCCCAGTAGAACGGGAGATATAGCACTGTCCCATTTTTTTTTTTTTTTTTGAGCAGTGTACATCATTTAAAATATTTTGACAATTTGAAATGTATGTCTATAACCAACGATTGCTAAAAGAAAATCCGGGTAAGGTCTTTCGCGAACATGATGTATATTCTAGTGATGATGTACAATTACATTATAAAATTCTATGGACAAAAACAGCTGCCAGTTCTTACCAGTTCATCTGTTATATTTGCCTTTCGCTTTTAATATTATCCGTAGATAGTTCTGTTTTACACTCATGGTTCGTGATTGTAAATTTTCCATCATGCCGCAATAAAGAAATGTTCGTTAGATAGGGTTAATCCCTCCCTCCCTCGACGTTAATCGGGAGTTGACTGTAATACAGTGATGATAAGCTGTACCCTAATGATAATAAAATTTATTTTATCAGCTGCCAGTAATGTCGTAGCAGGTCAACAAAACGAAGAATTCCTTCCTATGACAGTAGTGGAACAACGTCGGCAATGCAGTATCAGCCAAATCCTTTTTCTTCAAGCTCGTGACATGGACGATAACACTGGGAATCTGGTATCGTGTGGCATGGATGGTCGGATACGATTTTGGAATATCGTACATACAGCCAAAGTAAACAAAAGTAAACTTCTATCCAAGTTTCGCGCTGTTCAGACAATGTGATGGAGTTTCCTGCATAGCAACGGATGACCAGAATACAGTGCTTTTAATGGGTTCGTTCTGGATTACGTTTCGTATCCTTAATTCTTATTTTGATGCGATGTAGATATATGATTTAATAAATCATACAAAAAGCAGAATCGGACAAAATTATATTGTTTGTGAAGACGAAGAATTTCTTACACCTTGAAGAAATATTATTTTTCTATACTAATATCATGTTTTAGCAAAATAGAACATATTTTCAGGTCGCATGCGAATGGTATTTGTCGCAAGCCTTGTGTGGCAGGGATATACAATAAAAAAACAGCACAGCTGTCTGTTCAATAGCCTTTTCTTTGTTTAATAAGTACAAAAGCTTTCACAGGGCTTTAATTTATAACGGATTAATCCCACGCCATGTTTTGTTTTCTGTTGTCTTATGGGTCAATGTGGAATGTTGATACGGTAAAATTGTAATTTATTTGAATTTTTGTAATTTTTTAAAAGATTTTCAATTATTTTTATTTTTTTAAACTTTTGATGGTAAACACTTCTTCAAGGTGTTAGAATTTCATTTTTTCTAAATTTTCAGTCATAATATTTTAGTAATTAAATTTATTTTACTTAAAAGTTCTTAATATGAGATTAAAGATAAAATAGTACGTGTAATGCGAAATTAAGGAGCATTTATGAGAGCTCCGAAATTTCTAAACTTCATCTGAATTAAATTCACTTATTTAAATGCAAAATATAGTGATTAAAGTTTATCAGGAAGTGATAAACAAAACTATATTTAATTTACTTTAATTTTAAGGATAATAAATTAGAGGTATTAAACAGCATGCAATTCATTTGAATATGTTAATCAGTTAGACATATATATATATGGATATGTCTCTCCTACCACCATTTTTAGCTTAAGTAATCTGAGGACAGAGATTTTTCTATTAATATAGGCACACTTTTTATTCCAAATAAATAATTTCGATGAAAACAATTACACCGAAGTAATCAAGTTCGTTAAAGATTATGGTTACTTTTCATCAACGCGATTTGAATTGATTGAATTGATTCATAAACATTACGCTTCAAATGTTTTAAATAAGGCTCACCAGCGGTCAAGAGGTAAGAACAGCTGGCCGCTAGAAGTTCAATTCTAAATTCAAATTCTGGCGAACGGACTGGCTGCATGGGCGTTTTCATGCTTTTCTCGATCTGTAAAGGAGCAAGTTTCCCTTAAAAAAACTCCTCCACGGGGCATCCCTCCCTTTCCGTGTAGTACCTATGATGGAACAAGGAATAAGATTAAAAAAATTTAAACAACAAACCAATACTTTATTTAATGCATATAAATGACAATTATCAATTTTATTGACTAATTTTTAATTTTTAATTTTAAATATTCCATTAAATTGTTAAGTAACTTCAGCCATGACTTGATTCTAATAAGAAGAGAGACATTCAGTAAAAAAAATTTAAATTAAGCGAAAAAACAATTTTAAGTGATGTATATTTTGAACTCAGAGTCTTTTCCAAACTAAGGCTGCTTCTCTACTTAGTTTTAAATATCTTAATTCATCCATAGCAACAACAAAAACTTGAAAAGTATACAATATTATTTTCCAGATGGACATTTTAATAACAACATGACAAACGAACCGACAGCATGGGCACATGAATAGATTTCCCTATGGACTATCTTGAATACTAACCTATTTCTCATAGAAAGTCCTCCATAAAGTCATGCCTCTTTTAAAAAAAGCTCTTGCTTGCTTTGTCACAGATGATTAAAGAACAGACTGTGCAGAAGCGTTATTATATTTTTTTTTGTTAATTTGACACTTATTTTGAAGTGCTGGGTGAATAAGAAGGAAACGGTTCATTTATATATTCTCTGAATTTTGTCAGAAATGGTTATCAAAGAATTTGAAATCGAAGCATGAGAATCAAAATTCAAATACAGTTATTTTATTTCTTTATTTTACATTGATATGGACCTCTCTCTCTGGCACTCTGACGGAAGGAATGAAATAATCATATCCCCTCCCCACAATACAAAATTACTTGTATGTAAAAAGTAGAATATTAGTTAAAAAATGTAAAAATTTAATGTAAGAATTTTCAAAAGTATTATACCAAAATTTTAATTAAACGAAAGTTAACGTGTATAAATTATTCTCCATACAGAAAATTGATGTGTCACTATTTCAAAAATATAGGAGGTGTACAGAAGCAGTTAACTTACATATATATGCAACAGTTAAATTTTATTCGTTGCCGTGTTTCATTATTTTCTCTCCATACATTTTGGCATAAGTAGGCTTTAATCAGTTTTTCTATGAATATTTCATCATATTGATAAAATCAGTTTTATGACAGTTTTTTCTTTGATCACCAAAATAAATCTGCTATCCTCAATGCGCGTAAATTGGAAAATTAAAGTAAGATTTTGATAAACGAAGAAATGAATAACAATACATTCTGTAGAAGAAAATACAGAAAATTATAGCATCGTATGTAGTTATTTTGATACATTTGCAGTTTAAGTATTTTAGGACTATTTAAACTGAAATTGTTTAATAAAAACCTGAAAAATTTAGTAAACGGTCTGTTTATTATAAATGTAAGAATGTTTCTTAAGTAGCAATATTTATAAACAGTTAATTTGATTGAAAATTTTAAAGAAGAAATATTTTGAACCGTATGAAACCAAAATAAGTTGTTCAGAAAGAGAAATGATCTTGTTTCTTAAAGCATATTAATTCAAAACAATAAAAGATACTCGATTGAAACTAGAATTGATTTCAAATATGTTAATATGAAATTTCAGACATCAGGATGCGTTTCTTATTTCAAAAATAAGGTTATTGCAAAAAATCGGTCAGTAATCGCCAATAACAAAAATATAGCGAGACATTCTTTTATTATGTTGTTTTCTTTCCCACTTGATTCTTTCCTTTAAATCTAACAAGAAAAGGGTGAAGAAGGAAAGATGTAAAACATATTTGATGAAAACCAATAACTGATGCGAAAGTGAATGAACGAGACCAAAAGTTGTGCAATCAGATTTATGTTAACCTTTAATGAATAATTCGTTATAAGGTGTTATAGATTTTGATGTTTCTATAGACTTTATAAAAATCTAGCGTATATTATATCTAGCGTATATAATATATATTAAGCTTAACAATATTCTTAAACTTCCCTAAGTTGTCAGTATAATTCTTAAGCTGTAAATTTTAAAACACCAGTTCAAAAGATAAAGCCTTTCTTCAATTTTCTTACGCGTTTTAGTTATCCTATAAATATGAGGCAGTAGTGAAAAGTCTTAAGGCAAATATGCGGCAAGCGATAAATTATACACAGTTATTTCGAAACGATTGACCCAATTTCATTAGCATAACTTTGTATGCATATTAATTTGTATTAATTTTATATCAGGTAGAAAGAATGTGTTCGAATTTGAGAATGTGCAAAAGGATAATGCTATTGTCAATGTGATTCTTTCAAAGAACTACTTCGAAAAAATGATGAATATAGAGTTGAAGGCATTTTGTGTGCCGCAATGTTTGAACTTTAGTCTCAAATTACTCTTTAATTTCAAGTTTTATTGATGTTACCATCTATTAAATAATGCGTACATGTCATGAGTAATTCAAGAGAATTCATAAACATTCTTTCAAAGCGCTCTCTTGAAGCAGATTTTAACACGAGTGTCTCTTAGAAAGTCTACCATGAAAATACGTCTTTCATAGATGGCCTTTGAGTACTTTGGTATAATAAATTTAATAAGGCAAGCAATCCCTTATAGAATCTAAAACACTGCCGATGACTAGATATTTCGTAGCCGGCCTTCTATAAAACTACTTTCATAATATACTACTATTCTCTTTGGATATGTATTATTGTGTTTTGCCAGCTTTATTTACAGACCTATATACAGGGTGATTATAAATTGTTTTTACAAATTTGGAGGGGTGATAGTACCCATCCAGACGAGTAATAATTACCATAGAACATAGGGTCGCATTCCACAATGACAGGCACAAAAGAGGAATATTAGAATTCCAACCTGAACTTACAAGTGATGGGAAAGTGAATGAACGAGACCAAAAGTTGTGCAATCAGATTTATTTTTAGTGAAAAACTTACAGAAAGTGCTCCAAATGCCGACCACGTGTGTCGTTGCACAGTTGACACCGGAAGGAACGACTGGTGCACCCTCCCGAAGTTCCTGATGTCGTGTTAATTTTGTCCGCGGCAACAACGATTTTCGCCATGAGATCTTCAGCTGAGTCCACAAGTGTCTCGAGCACTAAAGATTTCATCTGCCCCCAAAAGAAAAAAAGTCCAGTGGGTTGAGGTCCGGTGAGCTAGGACGCCAAGCTACAGGTCCGCCACGTCCGATTCATCGCGCAGGATATTTAACATTCAAAAGGTTACGGACTGTGACAGAAAAATGTGATGAGGCTCTCGTGCATAAATAACGTGTCTCTCTGGATGGGGAGAGGAACAGCTTGCAATAAACTGGGAGGTACTTTTTCGAAGAAGATACGGTATGTTGCATTGGTCAAACGGTCTGGCGTGATGTAAGGGCCTAACAGAATTTCACCTAGGATACTTTCCCAGACGTTTACGGAAAATTTCTGCTGGTGTTTATGAAAGGTACTGCAGTGGGGATTGCTGTCAGACCAAACGTGTTGATTTTGCACGTTGAAAAGGCCTTTCTGCTAAATGTTGCCTCATCACAAATAATATTAATGCAGGAAATCGTGGATCGTTATTCCTCATTACAAGCACAAATGCTCGGCAGGAATAATCATCTGTGTCCAAAGATTACACTTTTTAGACGTGGAAGAGGTGCATGCGTTCTTCGTGTAAAATACGCTACACCACCAGGTGAGAAATACCCATTTCGTGTGCCACCGCTCGCTTACTTGTGAAAGGAGCTGCTTCAAATCTAGCCAAAACTTGCTTTTCCATTTCTGGCGTTTGTGAATTTCGTGAACGTCCTGCATTGCTTTTTAAAATGGCAAAAGAACCGGGTTCTCTCAGTCTTCGACTAACACTGGAAAAGGTTACATGACTTGAAATCCGACGAGTTGGAAACCGCTGTTCGTGCAATCTTCGTGCTTCCGGTCCCATCCCTTTTGCTTCACCGTATGTGAAGTAAATATTTGCCAGTTCCTCGTACGTATTCTCTGCAATAGCATTCAAGAAAAGTTTCGGACGATGTCATCAAGGTGACTTGAAGCCATGATGTGTCTTTTTCAAGGACACCGTTTGCTCTGATTGGCTTTCTATGGTACCAACTAAGAGCAAAATGCTGCTTCTTCTCAGTTCAGATTTGCTTACGGTTAATTCTTGATAGTTTTAGGACATAGATAGTCTCCTTGTCTTTCCTTCCTTTTCTGCATCGCAGAGTGGAATGCGACCCTATGTTCTAAGGTAATCATTGCTCGTCTGAATGGATACTATCGCACTTCTTAATTTGTAAAAGCAATTTAGAATCACCCTGTATAATCTCCCAAATTTTAGTCTTTTTTATTGAAGGAATATAGCGAGTCTCTATTAACAAAGCATATGCATGAGCAGCAAAAATTTGATTATCATATTAATGCTCTTTGAGTAACTAAAGCTAGCAGATTTCAAAAATAAAATCAGAAATAAAGTCAATTATTTTGGGTAATCCTTCCGTGTATATAAGATAAAGATGATTATCAGAAGCGACAATTTCACTGCCTTTCGATTTAGAGGCAATTACTTCGATTTTGGATTAGAGCCTTGCAGAGCTTTCGTAATAAGTAACGTCTTCAAAACAGTGCAGACTACATTATGGAAGTTGACCACTGTTTGAAGTCATGCAACAAAAGAAAATCACTTTTGAACTTGAAGAAGATAACTTTCATAAGTTTGTGAACATCTTTGTGTCGGTACATCTTTATGAAAATAGATTTTTTTTTGCTTTGTTAATCACATTGGAAAAGTAAAATCTGATTAGCATTGACCAGACACAAAGATGCGTGTACACTTATAAAGATGTGTTAAAGATCTTTATTTAAGTTCAGAATTGTTCTTCATAAGGATAACGACTATTTTACACCAGGCCATACATATGAATATTTCTGTCTTAAAGAAAAGTGGCCAATTTATATGAACGTGTTAGCATCTTTATGTAGAGCGCCACTATAAAGTGATTCTCGTGATCAGGCTCATGAGTCATCTAGAAATGTGTAAAATGTAATTGTTGTCATTTGAAATAATGCTCATAAAATTAAATTTTGGAATATTGAATACTCTGCCTGTGTTCTATGATGAAACTAATGCATTCTGTTGGTGTACATCTGTAGAGAACTTTTAATAAGTATATAATAATTTAGAGATTCGATCAGTCATATGTATATAATGTTTTGCTTGCATATGCAGGTATGTTTAAATTTACTTGAGCGCATCAACATATCTCTTAACGAAAGAATTAATATAATTCAGTGAATCAACGTCTGGTACGTACTTATATCTAAATAAATTCCCGATACGATGCTCCTAGAGAATCAGGAGCTTCTTGTCCTAGACAGTTAGTTGTGGGCTCCGGACGATACCCGAATAGTTAAGTAAGCCACCCGGGTGCCTGGACCCGCTTTGGAAAAGTTTTAGTTTACCATACTTTCTTTGAAAAAGATAAAAAAATAGAAAATAGAAAATTGCTTTGTTGAGGCATGGCATAATAATGTTTTATTATATAAGATAATGCCACACATAAAGGTGTTTCATTGATATGTTGCAGAATCAGTGCTGTTAGAGTATCCTTCGTTCAAAAGTGGCCCTCAGATTTCACCATTTCAATTGTCGCCATCCCAAAGAAATTTGAAATATGTCTGTTTTGCCAGCGTAATGTAAAGTTCAGAAATAAAACTGCATCCTTGTGTATAATAAATAACGAAAACGATGATAGTTCTATTGTTCGCCGGAACTCGTGTCATATTACACAGTTGAAGTCTGCGTTTTATATCTGTGCGTATCATCGTGTTTATGAATCCCTGGCAAGTGCTGTTTGCATTATTTTGGTCATTTAAGCATATAACTAAGGTATAGCAGAATGAGTGATTATATTCTCTCCTATCTACTAAGAGATACTTCTTAAGGTACATACTCTGAAAAATAAATTTTCGATTATTCTCTAGTATATCTCAACGAAACTAATCTTAAAAATTTTCAAAACACTCTTAGATCATTGGCAATTTTAATTTTTTGCTGCAAGTGATTTTTCTCTTACACAAAAATGCTTTTATCTTAGATAGCATCATTCTGTCTTTCTGAATGAATGATTTTTTTAATGAGTTATATGTATTTTCTTCTTCTTTGCATAGGCGATACTTTGGGTTACATTCGGATCTATGAACTCGAAGAATATTATTCAGCCTATGGTTCACAGCTTCCAGTTTGTCGAAAACCAGAATCCCACCATTTTCTCAAGTATCCTTTTTTGCGGCTTCAAGGATCAATTGAACAGAATCATGCTGAACATAACAAATTTCCTGCTGATGGCGGTGTTGAATACGGCTTCGCACCTTTGCTTCTTAGTTGTTTCCGAGGACATCTTGGAGCCGTACTGAAAATTGCATTTTCCACTGAAAGGAAACTGGTGATTACCGCCGGCCGAGAGTGTTCGGTACGTTTGTGGACAGAAACAGGTATGTTCGTAGGTCTACTTGGTCCTGCTGATGAAAGTTGGGGAGCAGTAATCACAGGAATTCAACTAACTCATATGCCACTAGATATAAAAGCTGCAGCTTCATTTTTAACCCTTGGGGTAAGTAATATAGACACATAATAATTAACTGCTTATGAAATAATAAATACCTCATGCGTTAATGAGATATTTACTATTTCAGAAGCAGTTAAATTTAAATATCACTCATGTCTATATCAATGATTTGTATACCCAGTTTGGATGTAAAATCTTTTTGAGAATATACATCGGCGTGTTCGCATCTACAATTGAACAACGATGACCCGCAGTATTGGCCCGAGCGTGAAACCACCCACTACATGTTGTTGTATCGAAAGAAAAAGGCATCTCTGAAAATATGGCAGAATATGACGGAAATTTTATGCTAAACTTAGGATTAGCATTTCTGAAATGTTATGCATGCATATGCAAGTGAAAAATTTAGCTGTGCTTCAGTATTTCCGACGAAATCGCCTCAAAGAAGAACCAATGAAAGAAATATACCAGATTTTTTACTTCCTCTCAGAAAAAATTGCAGATTGTTGCGAAGTCTAAATTGTAAACTGTTTTAGTCCAGGCCTATCCAACCCAAAAGACTTTGTGGGCCGCTTTGGAAATGTATTTATTCTGGTGGGCCGCATTATGCATATAAATACACAGATTTTTTAAGGGGGGCGGAATTTAAAGCAGAATACATTATTATTATAGTTTTTATATATTATTCATAAATAAACTTGAACAATTAAACATTTATGGCTATATGTAAATGGCAATTACACATTTAGAACGAATAAGTAGCTATCAGTGCGATATTTGTTTCTCTTTTACTTCTCTTGTTTTTTCAAGTCGATCTGAATAGTTGCGTCATTGTTCGCTTTCAAATGTTTGTGTTTGTTAATCAAAAATTCATTAATGTTTTACAACATATGAAATATAAAACTCGTGCTTCCAGGTGCACATATTCGGGTGGAGGACTACGTTATTCAAATCTTGATGGCCCAGATACTGCCGTCTTTTCACAGTGCAAGGAACACACATATAAGCATGCAGATTTTTCATTATTTAATTTCTTTAAAAATAATACAGGGCAATAAAATTTGGTGGCAAAAATTTGAAAAGTGATACATTAGTTTGTAGTGGATGGCGCAAAATCCCGTTTCGAGAGTAATAGCCCATTTGGGCTCATCCCTTTTTGGGCTAAAAACTGAATCGGTTTTATTAAATAAATAATAAAATCTGAAATGTTTCAGATTTTAACGGTCACCCATAAGCGTTAAGGTGTTTTACGCGGTCGCTGAGTTTGTGGGAGATTTGCAAGAAATAATCGTTCTCCTTTCTCCTAATAAACTTAAATAATTTTACAGCTACTATTCAAAAGCGTCATTTTTTCAAAGAACCATAGAATACTCTTTCCAGAGAAATTTTGGCACTTCTACAATGTCAAACTATGAAGGAAAATTAACAATTGAAGTTTGGATTAGTGGATTATTCAGTTATGGCAAAGCACACGAGGGCTATCTGCCTAAAGGGAGGGATGCCTTTCGTGGAGGACTTTCTAAGGGAAACTGGCTTGTATATGCGTTACACATGGGGAAAAATCACGAAAACGCCCATACAGCCAGCCCGTTCGCGGGATTCGAAACTCGGACCGAACTACCAGTGTTCAGCGTCTTTACCGCTCGGCCGCTGGTGGGCTCCCAATTGAAGCTTGGTTTTAACAATACTCCCATCTTTTGATTGATGACATACACTTAATCAATTAACATATATATATATGTAAAATTGTCCACAAAAATATCAATCCTAAACAGTAAATCAAGAAGAAAATTAAGTTTTTAAAGTTATAGGGTATTTCTCCCGCTTTCCTAGCTTGCCTTCGTAGTGTAGTGGTTCTGCACGCTGGGCTCGTATTCCAGAGTTCCGTGGTTCGATTCTCGGCGAAGGCGGTGCTAATTTTCCAATTAACCTAATGTCTCTACAAGTGGCGCCCGAACTAAAAAGGTGTTGGGTGAGGATTCTATTCAGTATTTGAGTGTGACATGTACTACGTTCAATAGGTAAACGTTCTAAAGTAACAAGTTTCGTTTTCACAGATTTTTCATCAGAGATTTCCTTTTCTAATTCCTTCAAAACTGCATTAATTGTTTTCGTAAAGGACGATATAACATATTTTCATTTCTCAACTAACGATTTAATTCCAATAAAAATCAAACTCAATCACCAAATTAGGCTGAAACAATTTATAATGTTCTACAATCCAAATATCGAAAAACAATAAAATTTTGATTTTGACTTCTTTTTACCGGTCAAGTCCGATGTCAGTAATTTTTTCCGAGGCGAAAACCAACAATTCTCCTTCGTCCTAATAAACCTAAAATAAAATAGTAATATTGCAGCTAATATTCAAAAGCATCACTTTTTTTTTCAAAGATCACTAGAACAGTCTTTATTTTATTTTTTCTTATTTCCACTTCTACACTGTCAAACTATGAATGAAAGGTAAAAATCGAGGCTTGGTTCTAACAGACTTCGTAGTCTATCAGTCTGCTCTTACACGCACTCTTGGTGAGCTTTTTTTTAATCGTTTTAGCTTTATTATTAAGTATCGTTTGCTTGCACTTATGCCACATATATTTCAGCAAGAACATCACAAAAGTTTTAAAACCTGCATAGATTTAGAATTCCCGAAGCGGTGTAAATGTTGGCATACGTTTTTATATTTTTTTTAAAATTTTTTATATTTATTTTATAATTTTTTTAGTAAGATGGCTAACAAAACTTTTCGTCTTTTATTATTAACTCTTTATATATTAACTTTATTTATTAAATATCACACTCTTCGAATTTGCGCCATATAACATACAATTCAACAAAAAAAAATCATTCTCATCATATAGTAATTTCTTTAAAATCATATAGTAATTTCTTTAAAAAGTAGCCGATCAGACTAAAATAGTTATTATAAAAAAGAAAAAATATGTGAAGATTTTAATGAGCTTGTGTAATTTCATAAAAAAATATTGAATATTTCTGGTTAGACATCTTTAAGAATTGTGTTTATTGATTTTAAGTCGCTTATTTTATTATTCAGTAACTTTACAGAAATAATTTGAAAGAAATTTTTGCACTGCTGAAAGGAAACAAGCTGCCGCGTGGTAAATAAAAGTATATTTTATTTCCGGCCGCTGCAACACACGTTTTATAGAGCCGAGTTTCTTAATTAATAAAGAAAGGTAAATAATATCTTATATTTTCCGAATGGCAACACTCGTTCGCTGGAGATAACAATGTTTTGTTTCGAACACTGTTGCCACTTCTCGCTTTCAACTCGTTGTGTTTCTTAATAAAAAATTCATTAAAGTTTTACAAAATCGGAAGTAAATAATAAAACAAATTCAAAATTCGAGCTTCCATATACACATGTTCTGGTGGAGGACTTCGTTATTCAAAACTGGATGGCTCTAAGTACCGTCGTTTTTCGCAATACGAGGAACATGCTGCATACATACATGGAGATTCTTCGGTGGCAATAATTTGAAGAATGCTACTCGGTTTAGACCGAACCATGTAAAATTCCACTTCAAGACTAATAGCCCATCTTGGCCAAAAATTATTGGTATGGTTTTCTTACAAAGTTAGATTTTTTAAATCAGAGAGCAAAAAATTTCAGTCCTTAAAAATAGGGATCTTTTAATTGGGGATGCATCTTCCAAGTCAAAAATGGCGATAAGTCCAATGAAGATTGTTCTAACTTAGCCATCGACTACGAATAGAAATGAAGAAGTCATCGAAAAGATTTGACAGGCTAATGAAAATTATCGGAAGACCAATGACTAGGTTTCTGAAAAATCATGTCCTTGCAACAATTTTGGGGGGAAGAGAAACTTAATACTGCATGTGTCTCATACAGGGTCCTCAAAGTGTAGAATCATTAGAGTATTTGCTGGAGGAGGGAAACCCGGGTACCTTCGCCACGATTCGAACTGCCATATAGCTGGACGTGTTTCTAATAACAGCATGAAGGAATGCGTTAAGGAGGAAAAAAATCTTGCAAAGGGATTGGAGAGCCGAAGGGCGTCTTTATAGGTTTGGAAGTAGGGAAAGAGAGGGGAATATCTTGGAGGTATTCTATATCATAACTGGGACAGAATTTTCCTTCCTCACGTTTGTAATTTTGTCACCTCTTTGGTGCATTCTGGGCAACGTTCTCCGTAATGAGACTGCTGAATGACTGATGAGTATTAGTAATTTTCCAGACAGGCAGTAAGTTGCAAAAGTCCAGCTATTCGCAACGACAACAGCAACATCATTTTTAGTTCTAAAACAACTGAAAGTTATTACGCGGTGTTAGTTTTGGCTCAAAGATATAATATTAAATATGTTTTCAGGTTATTTCTTATTGATTTTCTTATACTCATTTACTCAAAGATCAATTGCCTTTAGCAATAAGTCTTACTGCTATTACGAATGAAAATACGGTAATGATCTCTGTTTCTTTATGTAGGTTTTAAACGGTGGAAAGATGCCACACTGGAAGCGTGCTATCCAGATTTTGAGGCGATGTAATTTCGGCCAACATGTAGAAAAAATAACCTGGCGGACTTTTGAATGGGGAATGAAACGGAAATCTAAGAAAAAAGAAGTGAGTTAAGAATGAAATATAAAAGCATTATTTATATTTATATTGATGTCATATTAACTTTTCAGAAATATGGTGATTTTCGTTTTTGAACCTTTAAAAAGTAATAAGAAACAACTATGAAGAATATCGCTT